TTTCCTTGTGTGGTCCCCATTTCTGCTCAGGAAGAGTTTTTGGCAGGTAGTATTTGAGGGCAGGTATAGTTAATCGCTCTTAGCTGCTCTTGTTTTACGCAGAATTTTTGTATATTGCATTTATTTAAGGCCAGAAGAAAATGTGTTAGTCTCTGTTATATCCCCAGTGTCTTATTGGTCATTAGAGGTCTTAGAAGACTCTTTCCAAATGCTAATATTGTCTTAGGTAGCCATATCAAAACAGCAGCCATAGGTAGTGCTGTCTTAGGGTACACATTTGCAGGGCCGTTCTCCAACCCCAAGATTAAGTACAGAAAACCAGCTTCCTCCACGTGCCAGGTCTGAGACCAGAGACTTGCAGGCAGTTGTGATTATGCTACAGTACATATTTGCCGGGGTGCGAGTGCTTAGTGCACAGGACATCCAAAGTCCTTCGGGTCGTGCCCAGGGACTCCGGGGTTCCCTGAACAGCCCTGCTTCCAAAGCAAGGGTTGCTGCAAACGAGGAATGGAGTAATTGCATTTCTCTTCGTGAGATCACTTTTGCTTCGGCTGCCACTGAGTGGGAACAAGACTGACTTGGCTTTATCTGCTAGCTGTTGTTTCCCATTCTGCTGCAAGTCCGGCACACTCTTTTTGGCAAGCCTGTCCTTTTAGTTTCAGACTTCTCATGAAGCCTGTGAAAAGTCCTGAGAAGGAAGAGGCTTCTAATTACCCAGCAATAACAAGTCATGGCCCTCAAGGTGATTCCAAATGATACTTTTGTTGTTAAACCACGTGAACTCATGTTATGCGTCTTCAGTGATGGGACAGCCTGGTTTTTGACAGACGCTTTGGGTAGGTCCTATAGGAACTGGATTGTTTTGTGGTCTTTGTTTACATCTCCTTCAAAATCTCATGTGCCCCTGGGAACATGTAGAGTTGTGGGTTGAGACCAAAGGACGACATACGCTCCCTGCATGCAATATTGGAGTAAATCCACGTGAAAGCTACTCCACAGCAGTCCTGCCAACATCATCAGAGGATGGCCATCCTCAGTGAGGAACATCTTGTGCTTATAGAGATTGCAACATACCATGATTAAATCCTAGTAAAAGTAAAGACCAGGCTGCTTGAAAATGCCTATTTACCAGTCTTTGAAGATTAAATCATAAATGAATGATACAAACAAAATGCACAATGCAGCAGCTGACACCATAAAAAAAAAAAAAAAAAAAAAAAAAAGTCTTCTAAAGGCTTAGACCTTAAAAAGGCTCAATTCAGCTCATTCACCCATTACATGTTTTCATTGGGTCTCTCACAGCTGTGCACGCGTGCGCACACAAACACTGATGGGGTTTTGGATGCTCGTTGCTTCAGTGTTAGCCAAGGGCAGACTGAAGATGACAGGTACCAGAGACTTTCTCTGTGGCCTGAGGCAGAGGAATTCCCTGCCTAATAATATCAGATCATCTGTATTCTCTTTTGGAAACAGGCCAGGGATGATTTTGATCTCTCAAACCCTTCAGTGAATGTGTATTGTAGTGGATTTTTTTTTGTTCTTTTGAACCACTCCTTGGGAAGCTCACCTGAAAAAGATGAAGCTTTTAAGTGTCTCTCCTACTGTAGTCTTTCCATTTTGCCTGTGCTAAGCTATCCTGTAAGTTGAAACCAAAGAGACTGGACTTTCTGGAAGCTGACAGAGGTGACCACCCATATATCCAGTGTAACACAGTGTCCCTCACTGTAAAACATAACATGCTTTTACTGAATAATGCCCCATAACTCTAGCAGTCATGTATAGAGATACCTGTGTTACAGGTAGTGGAATAGTGACAGCTTGTCACTGAAATAAATTTTGAGTTATTTTCCTTACCCTGTATATCCTCCCCTCTGCAAACCTTCCTCGCTCCCTGTTTCTGAGCTCCATCCAGCCTCATGTTCCTTCAGTATATTTTGAGAGCCTGATTCCTTTTCAGGCAACTTCTGACGAGCTGAATGTCTTCCTCTCTTGCTTCAGTGTGCTACCTCTGTTGTGTTTCTGTTGCGTGTTTCTTGGATAAATTGCCTCGTAATATTCAAAACCATCTTTGATTTAGAGTTTCTCTATATTATAGGTATTTGTATTTTTGCATTTTAGGCACATGGCTGGGAAAAAACCTTGTAAATGTTGGGGTTCATGTATTTTTTTGGCTCTTCAATTTTCTCCAACTTAGACCCTGAAAACAGGCATTAGGTGTGTGTGCTTGAGCCAGCTGAGGTTTGCTGTGTCTCAGGGGGGGGCAGTTCAGGTCTCCCCCATGTCCCGGCCCGTGTGATGGCAGCAGGGCAGCAGGGAGAGTTGTCTTTTTCAAGTACAATCCCTATTTAATGAGCTGTGTGTATTTTTATAGCATCTTTTAAGACACTTTCAAGTTGAGTCATTAAATATATATTTTTAATAACCTTTGTGACTTAAAAGGACAGTGTGACATCACAATCGTAGAACACCAGGTTGGAAGGGACCTCAAGGATCAGCTGGTCCAACCTTTCTGGGCACAGCCCGGTCTAGACAAGCCGGCCCAGCACCCTGCCCAGCTGAATCTTAAACGGGTCCAATGCTGGGGAATCCACCCCTGCCCTGGGGAGATTATTCCCATGGCTGGTTGTTCTCATGGTGAAACATCTTCCTCTTGTGTCCAGTTGGAATCTCCCCAGGTGTAACTTGTACCCATTACCCCTTGTCTCTTCCACGGGACTCCTTGCACACAGGGAGCCTCCGTCTTCTTCGGAGCCACCCTTCAAATACTGGAACATGGGGATAAGGTCTCCTCTCAGCCTTCTCCTCCTAAGGCTGAACAAACCCCATTCTCTCAGCCTTTCCTCACATGGCAGGCTGCCCAGTCCCTTGATCATCTTTGTAGCCCTCCTCTGGACCCTCTCCAGCCTGTAAGAGAGGTTATGTACATTCCAGAAATGTAATAATGTGTTCTGAAGGTGCCTGTGTTCTGTACATTCCAGAAATGTAAGTACTGGAAATCAAATAGTGATTCCCTGACTTCTGAATTAAATTATTTCATTACAAATTTATGTGAAGTTCAGACATACTTTTTTTCTTCTTGTGATTTCATGGCCTTTTTTTATTTTGATCTGACAAATGATTCTGATGTTGCACTTAGAAATTCCTTCTCGTTTTAAATTTTCGGTTTCCCACCAACAATGTATTTCTTCAAATTTGTAACATCACATATCTTCAAAGTGGGGGACGGAAGGGACCTTCTCCATAGCACAGGCCCTAAAAATTGATCTATTAATTCCTGTTTAGGGAGTTTAATGATAATTTTAAAGACAATATTGGAAGCTGAAATCCTCTTCCATGGTAACAGCCTCGCTTAAATCACCATGAAGTGCCCCAAAACATGCTGGATGTGTTCTCCAGGCCTAAAGTAACTGGAAGGATAACCCCCAGGAGGAGGAGGAGCTGCTGCTCAGTGTCTGGGGCAGTTCCACACTTGGTCAAGATGGCCAGGAAGGAGCAAGTTAGCATCAATCGTAGAAGTAGTTTCTGTCATCTCAATAACAGTTCCACCAGGAGTGGTTTGACAAAAGTGCTGTCTTGTTTGAAACAGACCACTGAAAATACATCAGAGATTCATTATTAATTAACTACTCGCTGTGTTTTGTTTGCTGGTTTAACATTAGCGATGAGCTCATTTCACAGGGCTAGAGATGAAGTTGCTGTTCCTTGGAAGAACTTGTAGACTGTGAGGGCTCAGTCCTGAAAAACACTCCCAGAGACCTAAACTTTAACCATGAGATTCTTATTTTGATCATCAGTGGGACTATGCTTCCTCAATATGTAGGTACATAAGCTCTTGAAAGTCAGGAGGGTATATGGACAAAAGCAAAAAGTGCATGGAGGGCATAGAAGAAGTAGTAAATTGGGACTAAGACTTACCATAGCTTTGGGGAATCTTTGATGAAATCTGTAAGAAATATGGGGAGAGTGACATCTTTGGCTTTGCTTCAGATGGCTGTTGGACACTTGCTAAATGATTAGTGGTAACTTCGGAAGCCTTTGGAAGGAATAGTAGATGAAGAAAATGGGAAAGACAAATAGGAGGTGTTTGTGAACACAGAGATGTTGGATCAGATTGCACTGAAGATGAGATTTAAAATAATTATGTTATTAAGGATGGGAAGAAAATTGTGTATTATTTCCCTGTAATTCTTTTAAAATTATTTATTTACTTTTTTATCACGTTGGGCTACTCTCTAGTGTTACACTTGCCTGTTAAAAATTCTGACATTCTAGGAAGGAGAAACGCTCAGTGCTTAAGCATGTAAGACGAGAAATCAAGAGACATACGCATGAAGGGCTGGCTTTGCAGTTTTCTCAGTGTGTGACTGATGCTGTCAGTCAGTTATCTTCTCCGGACGTGGTTTCTTCACCTGTGGAACGAGGTTTGCCCATCTCTGTGCGAGGTCGTGCGTGGGGCTGGTGCGCCACAGAAACAAGCAGTTATTTAAAGTGAGGGGTGGAACCAGAAACTTCAAGAGCACCTGTTTTAGAAATTTGTTTTCTTAATTTAGTTGTAGATAAGGCCCAAATTTAGCTTAATTCTGAACGCTTAGGGTTTTTTTTTTCCAGACCCTAAGGGGGAGGGGGTGTGTGTGTGTGTGTGAGGGGTGCGTGTGTGTTTCTCCTCAGAAACGAAATGCTGTTTTCTGGGATCTTGAAGAAGTGAGGCTGCGGGAAAGAAAGAAATAAAGAAATTCCCCCCGTTATTTGCCTCCTCCTCGGCACGAGGTGGCCCGCCTGCGTCGTTAGGTCGTCAGGGCCACGGCCGGGCGCCGTGAGGCGGTTGCCGAGGCGGCGGCGCTAGCCGCGCGCCCTAGCCAATGGTAGCGCGGCGCCGGCGCGCCTCAGCCAATGGTAGCGCGGCGGCGGCGCGGCGCAGCCAATGGGGAGCGGGAAAGCGGGCCGCGGCGGGCGGGAAGGCGGCGGGCGGGAAGGTGGTGAGGGGAGCGGGAGGCGGGGGGGCGGCGGCGGCGGAGGCACCGGCGGGAGGCGGCGCCGCACGGCTGGGGCGTCCGCAGCGCTTTGAGGGCAGGCTCAGCCCCGCCGCCGCCAAACAGGCCTCCGCCGTCCCCCCCCCCCCCCTTCCCCTTCCCCTTTTCCCCTCCCCCGCGGCGCCTCGCAGCGCCGGTTCCGCACCCAGAGAGGCGCCCGGCGTCAGCGGACCTCCATGTACGACAATTTGTACCTGCATGGATTTGAAGACTCGGAGGCGGTGAGTGCCTGCACCCCCCCTCAGGCTTTACTACCAGAGCCGGTAGGAGCCCGCCCCGAAACGCTCCTCAGTTATATAATTGGGGGGGGGGGGGGGGGGGGCGGGAGCAGTACTATTTCGGGGTCCCGGCTACAGCTTGCCGTCTGTCCCCCCGCGCTTGCGGTGCCGGGCAGCGCCGGCTCCTGCCGCGCTTACCGTTCGTTAGTGTAGCGGGGAAAGCCGCTAATTACACAATACTCGGGTGCGTGTTGGACAAAACGGCGGCAGAAGTTGCTCGGCTGTCGTGTGTGTGTGTGTGTCCCCCCCCCCCCCGGGATCGTCCGCATCGCGGCCAGCCGGTCAGCGTGGGCGCCTGTGGTGTGGGTTAGCAAAGCAGCGGTGCAGGTGCCGTGGGTGGCCGAGGCATCATCATCGGGGGTGACAGGATACCTGGATTGCCCAAAATAAGCTATTGCTCTGTGGGAAATGATCTCCCCACTGCTTTCCCCCACACACACCACCACCGCTCCCCCCCCCCCATCAGCTGGCAGCAGCCTTGCTGGGAAGCCGCTGGCGTCCCTCACAAAATGGTTCTCTTGCAGCACGGACGGCCCCGTTACCGCGGTCAGAGCTCGACACCCCGAATCCAAAACGTTAGCGGTGGTTGTCCGAGTGACGTTTCTTTCCAGCGGTAGCCGCTCAGGAGCCCCGTGGGGCAGAATTACTGGGAGCAAGGGGAACTGCTGGGATCACCGGGGCCATAAACACACCGTTCTGTATTAAAACAGGGATCTGTTACATAAGGCATTGTGGCCAGCTCATAAAATACACAGATTATAACATAAAATAGAGTGTACGTCAATGCAGACGTATGTATCGTATGATGTGGTATCCCCAGGAGAATGGACAAGATCCTGTATCGCTTCAGATGAGGCTTTTTTCCTTGCCTGACAAGGAGGTCGTGCCGGTCTAGGACTGAGAAGTGTAATCTGTCTACGTGTTGCCTCACGGACTAGCAACTTGTTTTAGCGTCCGTTTATTTCAGGGGGAGAGAAGCCACAACTGTGCTGGATTGAAATTAAATAATGTGGTACACCATGCTGAGAGAAAACCCTATGTATTTCAATCCTTCAAAACTCTGTATTTGAATTCTTTCAAACCGGTGCTTCTTTGGGTCAATTTAGAAATTCCTGCCTTTTCAGTACGCATATGTTAATCTGTGGTTTGTGTTTTCTCTCACTGCTGCTTACAAGCTGCCATGCCAAGTGCATACGAGTGTGTTGGTTCCTTTAGGGGATGTGTTTTAGGATCCAACTGGATGTTTCTGTAAACCAGGCATTTGTAAGGCAAAGCGTGAATTCTTGGGAACTGTTCTCAATCCTGAATCTGTCTTGTACTGGTATAATGTCTTTCAGCAAAGTATAAATACGGTCTTAAGAAGACAGCCTAAAAGTATAGTAGCATGGCTAAGAAGGCTGACTTGCTGCATAGTGGTTGCTGTAGAATAAATATTTTATAGATAAAAGCTCCATTTTTAAGTTCGCTAGAGAATGCAGATAAATGTCTAGTGGAATTCAGGGGTGCTTCTGAGATAAGCACTTATCTCCACATATTTCAGTAAAGCCCCACTGATTTCTTCCAAGAACATTATTTGGGAAAAGCACTTTTAATGACAGTGGAAGACCAGGGACCTACCTGTTACACAAACACCCGTGCTGGGATTTGTACTGTAAGAATCATGTGAGTAACAGAAGAGAGGAACAAGGTCTTTAGCTGCCTGCTTTGCAGGACTGTTCCAGGTTCCTTAATACTCTCTTAACTAGTTCATGACAGTGCTGTTTACAGCTTTTGTAATTTTACAGTCTATCAGTACTTGAGAATGTTTTTGATAAACTTAACGTCTAGAATCCTGGGAATATGTGAGAATCTCAGCTTGTGTTAACAACCTTCTCCCCCCCCCCCCCCCCCCCCAAACCACCAAACTCTAAAAGCAATCTAGATCTCATAGTCATATGGGAAAGCTAGAGGCCGTAAACCCCAAAGGCTCAGACACAAAGCAAATAAAATTCCCCGAGTGTTTGTTTGCTTTATGCTTCTGAACCACTTGCTTAAAACATTATACCTTATTATTATTTTGGATTCTGACTCATGAATTGAGAATGCCTGCTGAGACAATACTCTGGCAAGCAGGTAGCGTGATGGGTCATATGAGTATTACTTTCAAGCCAAAGAGAGCCAACGTAACAGAATTAATATAGTGAAAAACAAACCAAGGGTAGAATACTGGTTCCCTGTGGTTAAGAGAAAATAACTGCGAGCGTGCAAAGATTAAAGAAAAGGTCTCTGCATTGTTCTGGGTTTTAGGACCTGAAAGGCTTAGCCCAGATGTTGTGCAGCTACTGAATTGAAGGAACTACGAGGCTTGTATACTCTACGTGTTCTTTCATTCCCTCAAGCACAGGGAGATGTGATTGAGGACTTGTGCTACTTGCAGTGCTTCTAGCGCAAAATAAGTCACATCAAGATGAGTCATTCTAGTACAGTAACATCTTCCTAAAGTAGGCATTTGCCCTTATAAAACCCGTACAGCCTAATACTCATGGCAAGAAATAAGAGCTGACAACTCATTGTATTTTTTGCCACAGTTTTCATTATTTTGCACGTGGACAGTGTTCACTCTGCATGCTCTCTGAAGGGAATCCTGGCTCATGTCCGAAGTAGCAGAAAGCTGTTGGAACTGGGTGGACTGGCAGCGTTGGCTCAGAAGGTCTGTCTTAACCTCCAGCTTGGGGGGCAGCCGATCCAGACTGAGCCGAGCCGGCGTGGCTGCTGAGCGTGCTTCGGGCGCTCTCCCAGGCTGGAGCTGCGGTAGGACCTAAAGCTGTGCCTAGCTCTAATGAGAGGGCCAAACCGAAAATCCACTCACCCTCCTTTCTTGAATCTGTTCCTTACCAGTGAAAGCAGAGAGAAGAGCCGCAGTTGTGATCAAGGGTTAACCTTTGTCAGTCTTCACTGGGCTCAAACAGATGCTTGTTGCCCAGTGCCTCTGAACTGCTTCAAACTAACTTAGTGGTGTCACAGTTAGAAATCAGCTGAACGGCACGGTGACTTCAAATATCCATGATGTGGTGTTTTTCAGTAATAAAACCATCATAAGTCCTGTGTGTACATACCAAATTTGAATTTGCATTGGAAGAAAAGGTGAATGATCAGTGGGTGGCACTTGCACAGAGTAAATGTGCTCGCTTTTGGAAAGGCACTATAAAATCACAACATTTAAAGATAGGGAAGCTGAGGCATGAACTGAATTTATACCTCATCTCTTCTGGTAGATAATATGCATATTAAGTGATCAGAGAACACTCTAGGAGAAGTGTGCATGTGAAATTTTCCCTTTAAAATCAGGAACTAAAAGGACATATTAGTTAACAGATGTAGCTGATTCTTGTAATTGAAGCTATTACTATATTGTGGTCTTTTATGTGTGCACATATAGAAAATACATGCAAAAAATACATATTTTTATGTATGTATAAAGAAATTAATTCAGTGTGTGCATGGGTATCACAATTCATTGCCAGCTGTGATGATTAATGTGAAGTAGATGATACACTAGCTAGCATGAGGCTTCTTGGAGGAGGAAAATTACATTCTTGAAGCTGAAAAAGACTACCAGTGATTGTAGACAAAAAGTAAGGTGCAGAGAAATGGAAGCAGCTTTTGCAGGCACAAGTGCCCTTGTAATGAACACAGAAAGTGCAGACTTTCAGGTGATGGAAGTGACCATAGAGAGAAACATCCTCCCAGTTAAGATTTTCGCCTTGTTTGTTGGCCTGCCCTCTGACTGTGTGGTTTTGGGGGGCTTTTTGTAGTGCTTTGGGTAGTTCTAAACAGGGTCACCCTTTGGGGAATGAAAGCTTGTTTGCCTTGTAGGAAAGTATGTCTTACATTCTTGATGAGAAGAGAACAGAACATAAAAACCCATTAGGACAGGCGTCTTAAGACAGTGAGGGCCACTGGGTAAAACTGTTTTACCTTCACAGTTGTGAACTAATAGGTGTGTGTCTATTTATAGCAGGGAAAGATCTGAACACCGTTTGGTATGTTGGTCCAGAATTTCCCTGTGCTTTTAGTTTCAGTAAAGACTTCATCTTTTTTTGGAAACAAGCTTCAATGAACTCTTCCCATAAGAAATTGCATTTTCTGTGAAATGACATTTTCCATTAAAACAGCCTTTAACTGAAAAACTCTCTCCAGGAGTTAGCAACAAGTACCCTCTAATGCAGAGTCCTTCCCCGCCTCAGCAAATGACTGGGAATGGCACCTGCTGCAAGTAAGTGTCACCCTTTTTGCACCTGCAGAACTATGAGACTGGTCCCTTTTAGATTTTTTTTTCTCCCTCCAAAGCAGGGGTGTAACCTCAGAGCAGCACCCGAGCATGTGAAATCGCTTTCCTCACTTCTCACAAGGTGTAAGTTTAACGCTTGTCAACACGTGAGAGGCTTTATCTTGTGTGCTTGAATCGGTTATCAGGGCTGTTGGAAATAGCTGCCTCTGGATAGGTGCTTAGAAGTTCAGCTTGGTTTTGCACTGAGAGCAGAGAGCCAGCAAGGGGTGGCCTGGCGTGGGATTGGCAAGGCTGGCGTGGGCAGGGCTGGGGAGCTTGCTCAGGCGAGAAGCCCCCGTTGCGTGGCCGTGGCAGCGTGGGTGCTGCAGAGCCTCACCGCTCAGCCAGCGCCGGTGACAGCCTGCAGCACCCGCCCCACGTGCCTTTCTGCTTAATAACACCAGAGGCTCCCATTCAGGCCATCTTCTTCCTCTCAGGTTATTTAAAACGGCATTTAATTTATGCCTTTGTTTTCTGCCTGTCTTTTTGGTAGGGAAGCTTTTATTTAAATGTCGACTGGATTTCTGTGTGGTAGCTCTCTGGTCTCAAACAGAGGAGGAAGAGGTGGTCTTTCCTTGCCCTATACACCTCTGTTGTAGTAGGTCTTTTTGTTAACTGCTTTTACCTATTCACT